CCCCCCCCCCCGCTGCTGCTGCTGCTGCTGCTGCTGCTGCTGCTGCTGCTGCTGCAGGTACCTGGGAATGGGCGTGAGCGGGGGCGAAGAGGGGGCGCGCTTCGGGCCCTCGTTGATGCCCGGCGGAGACCGAAAAGCCTTCGAAGAAATGGAACTGATTTTGGTTTCTGTTGCTGCGCAAATCGACGCCGCCAAAGCCCCGCAAACGCATGCAGCTGAGGTGTCTGTACACCTCAGGGCCAACGCATGCGTTTCCTTCCTCGGCCCCGGCGGCTGCGGCAACTTCGTCAAAATGGTCCACAACGGCATTGAATACGGGGACATGCAAATCATTGCTGAGGTTTGCTGCTGCTGCTGCAGTGCTGCTGCTGCTGCTGCAGTGCTGCTGCTCAGTACCGAGACCTGCAAATCGTCGCTGACGTTTGCTGCTGCTGCTGCAGTGCTGCTGCTGCTGCAGTGCTGCTGAATACGGAGACGTGCAAATCATTGCAGAAGTCCTGCTGCTGCAGTGCTGCTGCTGCTGCTGCTGCTTGGGTTCAGGTGTACAGTCTGCTGCGGCATTCCTACAACATGTCGAATGAAGAACTTTCCAGTTTATTTGCGGAATGGAATAAAACGGAATTGAATTCTTATTTGATTGAAATCACTTCCCAAATCTTCAAGAAAAAAGACCCCCAAGGAAACGGTATCCTGCTGCTGCTGCTGCTGCTGTTATTGCTGCTGCTGCTGCTGCAGCGTTTGCTGGGATATTTGCTGCTGTTGCGGTTTTTGCCGCTGCTGCGGCTTTTGCTGCTGCTGTGGTTTTTGCTCCCGCTGTGGTTTTTGCTGCTGCTGTGCGGCTGCTGCCAGCGCGGTTGCTGCTTCGGCTTCTGCTGCTGCTGCTGCAGCAGCAGCGGGAAACAGGTTTTGCTGCTGGTCTGTTCAGGCTATTTGATTGACGAAATATTAGATGCTGCTGGCAGCAAAGGCACAGGCAAATGGACAGTGCAGCAAGCAGCAGAATGGGGAGTCCCCGTGCCTTGTCTTTCTGCTGCTCTCGAAATGCGGTAGGTCTAGGGTTTAGGGTTTAGGGTTTAGGGTTTGGGTTTAGGGTTTGGGGTTGCTGGCTTTTTGGCTCGGGTTGACTGCAGCGCTGCTTCTCCTTTTGCTCATTTATTATTCATTTAATTATTATTATTTATTGATTTATTATTTATTTATTTATTATTTATTTATTTATTTATTTGATTTGCTGCAGTTACATCAGCGCCCACAGAGGCCTCCGCGAGCGTCTGGGGTGTCTGTACACCTCAGCTTGGCAGCGAAAGGGAGTGCAGCAGAACTTGGCGGAGCGGCCGAGTCTTGGTTCGCAAATAAATAAATAAATAAATAATAAATAAATAAATAATAAATGAAATATATAAATAAAATAAAATAAATAAAACAATTTAAAATGAATGAATGGATTGAAGGGCACTCGGTTGTTCCGCGAAGTGCTCATTTGCTGCTGCGGGTT